GGCTTCCATTCTCTTCATATGCTTAGCTGCATTAACATAGTGTTACTGTTCACAGAAGCCCTTAACTAAGCTTCCTGTGAATGTAAGCTCTAACATAACTTCATGAGAATACAATATCTAACTATTTAAAATATATCTTTCTGCTTTGTAAATAACATTTAATTTCATATGGTAGAAACATCTTTCATGTGGGCAAGCTTTAGTCTTAACATTGCTTAAACCAACTTTACAGAGAATTAAGGTTTCAAGCATATGTGGGCTTCCATTCTCTTCATATGCTTAGAAGCTCTAACATAAATGCATGAGTATAAAACTCTTAACAATGTAAAATCTGTCTTTCTGCATTGCAAATAACGTTTCATTTCACATCTTGGAAACATCTTTCATATGGGCAAGATTTAGTCTTAGTATTGCATAAACGAACTTTCTCTTACGAAGATTTTAGCATAGGTGGGCTTGCATTCTCCTCATTTGCGTGATTTCGCTAACATAGTGTTACTGTTCACAGAAGTACTAAACTAAGCCTCTTATGCTTTGAAGCTCTAACATAACTTTAGGAACATAAAACTCCTAACACATTAAAATCTGTCTTTCTGAATTGCATATAACATTTAATTTCATTAATCAGAAACATCTTTCATGTGGGCAATCTATAGTTTTACCATTGCATAGACCATCTTTCACTTACAGAGAACGAAGGTTTTCAGCATATGTAGGCTTGCATTCTCTTAATTTGCTTAGATGCACTAACATAGTGTTACTGTTCACAGAAGCACTAAATTAAGCCTCTTTTGCATAGGAGCTCTAACATAACTTCATGAGCATAAAACCCCTAACATGTTAAAATCTATCTTTCTGTGGGCAAGCTTTAATCTTAACATTGCATAAACCAAATGCATTTTACTTACAAAGAATGTTTTCTGCATATGTGGTCTTGCATTCTCTTCATTTGTTTATTTGCACTAACATAGTGTTACAGTTCTCTGAAGCACTAATTTGAGCTTCTTGTGTTTAGAAGCTCTAACACAAATTCATGAGTAAAAAAAACTCCTAAGTAAAATCTGTCTTTCTGCATTGCAAATAATATTTAATTTCACATGTTAGAAACATCTTTCATGTGGGCAAGCTAAAGTCTTAACATTGCATAAACCAACTTTCTCTTACAGAGAACGAAGGTTTTCAGCATATGTGGCTTGCATTAATTTGCTTAGATGCACTAACATAATGTTACTGTTCACAGAAGCACTAAATAAACTAAGCTTCTTGTGCTTAGAAGCTCTAATATAACTTCATGAATATAAAACTAACAAATTAAAATCTGTCTTTCTGCATTGCAAATAACTTTTCAATTTCAGCATATATGGACTTATATGGACAATCTCTTCATTTGCTTAGCTGCACTAACATAGTGTTACTGTTCCCAGTATTAATACTTAATATATATCCACAAATCTGGAAATATGAGATAATGTCTTTGTTAATGTTAACTGATGAACTTAATAAACATTACCAAATGATTAACAGATCACTAATTATTGTATATTGAAACGCTTACAAATGTCATTAAACCTTCTATTCATATGATCATGCTTTTTTTTTTTTTTAATTTTCAAATGATTTTGACAGATGGTTTACAATGATTAAAAGCTTCATTAATAAATCATTAACAAACATTATATAATGCTTAACTGATCATTAATGTTTACAAATGTCATGAAACTTTCAATGCGTTTTAAAAATCTACAAAAGATTTGAACAGAAATTACTCAATGAACAAAGTATATTTGTTAATGTACTGTTGAATGCTTACAAGTGTCATTAAACTTCAGTTCACATATTAGGTAATGCTCATTATTACATATACAAATGTTGTAAAAAATATAGCTTAATTATTATTTTTTAATTAATTAATAATTATATTAATATTAATTATGAAATTAATTATAAATGATTCATGTTAATATTAATAATAATAATTAATATTAATATTATAATGTTAATTATATTAACTCATAATCACAGTCTGTAAAGGTCATATATTTGGTATTTGTTGTGTAGACTTCAACTATTTGCACATCTTAAATAATTTATTCATTATTTGTTAATGTTTTGGCAGTACCCAATCTAAAGTGGAAACTATTCATCAATTGTAAATGTTTATAAACATTTACAAAATTTTTTGTATCTTTATTGGCACTGGACTCTTAGCTACTGTAACGACGTTTGTGTAAAGGGTGGTTAGTTAAGTTTAGCTAAATGCTTGGTAGAGACACATTGTAACACATTGTAATTTTTGGTGCAAAACATGCTTTTATTGCCTCAACACTTAGTTTACTAGTTTCACAATATTAGTATACCATTGTGAATCATTAATCAGTGGGAAAACTAATTTTCAAGAAAATACTTAATTTATCATTTATCAAAACAATGCAATATAAACAGATTGAATCGTGTTCCCTTATAGTAATCAAACTGACCCCTGTGCACTGTTGACCACTTACCCAACCCTTAAACCAACCCATACACCAAACCTGAGCCTAACCTTACTTGTATCACACCTCAATAGCAGCAAGTGTTGTGCATTAACAAAAGCGTTTAATCATTAACATCTGTTAAAATCATTTGTAGATTTTCAAGATGGTGCATGCTCATATGAATTAAAAGTTTAATAACATTTGCAAGCATTTTAATTTACATGAAATATTAATTATTAGGTAATATTTAATACATTTATTAGTAAACATAAACAAGCACATTTTTTCACGTTTCTATGTGAATGAATAAATATTAACAAATGATCCGTAAAATCCGATTTACTAATAAAAGTTATTATAAAGTGTTACCGGATTTTGGATTCGTTGCTTATTTTACACTGACACTGCTATTGAACTAAACAGAATCAACATTAAACTAATTTAAGATCAATAATGATAACTGTCTTCTGCAGAGCTGCTTAACAGATGAAACTGAAGTAATTTCATAATTGATCAAATTGATGAAACAACAACAATAATAATGTTTCACTGTAATTTCATTGCAGATTGTGATGTTCCCTATAATTTCTTCTGTTTCTCAGAAATGCTCTGATTGGTCATGCTGATGAACTGCAGTCATTGAACTGCAGGGTTGCCAGATCTGTTTAACAAAACCAGCCCAATGGCCAACAAAAACTAGCCCCAAAACTATCCTATACATACCACAATTCACAATATGCCACTCCCATACTTAAAATGCATATTTTAGTTGATAATCACTAATTGGTACTTATCATAAACACAGTCTGTTTTCAAAAAGGAGCTTACATGAGTTCAAAGGCTCCCAGTGTCTCTCCCTCACAAAAATCTCCTTACTCTGGTCATTATCCAGCACAGTTATATCATTGGTAAAATATACCTCTGGGGGAAAAAAATCAACCTGCAGCAACAGTTTAGAGTAGCCCAATATTAGACTTGGTAACTCTGTTGATCTGAGATGATGTCTGGCATGTTGAAATCAGCAATCAAAAGTGTTGCAGAAAAGAAAGCCCCTTTAATATCATGTGATCTATCTCTTGACATGCATTATCATGCTTTTTCATGCACAGAATCACACTGGGATGCACAAGTCATGCATTTCTTCTTATGTCTGGGTAAGTGAAAGCTTTGATCATTTTATAATACTCACAGTTTGTAAAATGTGTCCATGTCTACCGTAATAACGTGCTGTGGTTTTGCATTAATTTGCCTCAAAAATATATCAATATGGTCACTATACTTATGATTGTATAATGTTAGTATATACTGTAGTACATTAAAATAGTAGTTAAATAAAAGATAAAGTTAACAGTTAAAGAAGTTGCAATAAAATTAAGATACATTAAGATATTATATAATGTGTTACACTGAGATTATAAAAATCTTTTCCAACAATATGTCTTTACTATAGCTTTTTATCAAATTAACAAACCCTTGCTGAATAAAAGTATTATGTTTAAAATAAATAATTAACCCCAAACTTTTGAACGGGAATGTATATTGTTACAAAAGATTTATGTTGTAAATAAATGTTTTTTTTTGTTTTTTTTACTTTTTATTAATCAAATAATCCTGAAAAGAAGTATCACTGGTTACAAAAAATATTAAGCAGCACAAATGATAACATTGAATAACATTAATAAATCAGCTTAGAATTATTTCTGAAGGATCATGTGACACTGAAAACTGGAGTACTACTGAAAACAGCTTTGCATTACAGTAATAAATTATATTATATATATTATATAAATTATATTTCAAAGTATATATACTTTGAAATATAATTTATGTAATATATAAATTATGACTTAACTATTACCACTTTTAACATAACATTAAAGCCTCTTTATGAAAACTAAAATCGTTTTTAAGTGGCACAAACAAAGGTTTGTTAAAAGTGTGTGTGTACATGGCATTCCCTACATTATGGGAACCAAATGTGTTTTGGTCCCCACGAAGAAACAAGCTTATAAATCATAACAAATTAAGTTTTTTGAAAATCTAAAAATGTTAAGCTAAGAAATTGTTTTGTGAAGAGTAGGTTTAGAGGTAGGGTAAGAGGATAAAAAATACAGTTTGTACAATATAACAATTACACCCATGAATTCCCATAAAACATGAAAAGCAGTTATGTGCTTATGTAAAATGTTATGTGCACATTGCGCACAATACACTGAGCTGTGATGAAAATGTTTTAAAAAATGACAAATGACAGAATTTTTCTGTGACATGTTAATTTATTGTTGTATATTATATATTGACAAATTACAGATAGTAGCGAAAAAAGGTGTTTTGAGATATTTGTATTTTATTATTATTATTATTTTTTATTAATTAATTAATTAATTATTATTATTATTATTAAATTTTTTGTTAAAGTCCACAGAGCTATAGTTGAAGAAACTCATTTTCACTGTAATAATGGCTGTAGTTTCTCTCGTCTGGCTACAATATAGTCAGTAGGTGGCACTAGAGACGTTTGTGAAGCTCCATAAAAGCAAAGAAAGAAGAAGATATTACACGCAGATCCCGCCCGATTGACAGATGATTTTCACCAATCAAGGTAAAGCTGCATTTTTCCCCTTCCGTGTGTTTCTATCCTGATAGGTCAGCTGGGCTGCGCTGTTTAGTTGAGTTTACCGGAAATCAGTCTATTTATTCACAGTGAACTAAGCTTTGTGTTTCTGCAAATATTACTATTACAAACTGTCAAACTTGGCTGAACTTCGGGAAACATGGAACAAGTCGGGAACAAGTATTTGTGCCACGATTATTTCAGGTGTTTTTGGCTGTAGTTTAATATTCAGGGTAGTAAAGTATGTTAGAAGCTTGTACACAACTGTACAGAAATCAATTGTGTGTCCAAATTACCTTACTTACTACAGTTATATTTAACACAGTAAACGCATAATGAATGATTATATAGTGGGATGCCATCTTATAATATAAAATAATATTGCATCCACAGAGCTTTTTATGCTTTTATGCTAAATGTTATGCTTTTTTATTTTGTATGATAGTGTAATACATGGTTGATAAGTTATTACAAATTAGTTAATATAAGTTACTACACTTATTATTTTACTTATTATTAAACTATCATTAAATATATCTAGGGAGCTGTACAGAAAATGAGCATGATAGATTTTTGTAAGGGGGAGGTAACAGTGGGATTAACAATCCTTTTTAACACAATTATTTAAAAAAAGGAAAAAACAAGCAATATTTGGTTGACATTTCCCTCTGTTCTGTCTGATTTTCTCAATAGCTTTGCATTCCTCAATGAACATGCAATTTGAGGATGGTATATTCATCAAAGATTACATCAGGATGATGGCGTATATGATCGTGTTGTGTTTCACACTGGCAATTTCGTTATCATTTTGGTTCCTTTCCATAACTGCCAGCACATACTATGGTGAGAGTTCACTTTCTAATTTCTGTTTAAATACATAAGGGCTGTGTGTGAAACCAGACTTATTGCTCAGTTTCATACACTCAGTGTATGTGTATGAAACGGCCTCCTATGGAAACAGGTTTCTAAGACACCTTAACCTCATGTCTAAATATCTAAATGTAAATTTAAACTAACTTTATAAATAACCAAAGAAAATAATTTGAGATCACAGTACTTATTTAAAAAATTATATTTCATAAAAAAAATGTGGCATAAAATGTCACTAAAAACTGACAAATTGATTACAGTTGTCATTTATACATTATTCTTTCCACCAGCTACACACACAGTGTATCCTTGCAGCTTGCAGCTTTCAGACATAGCCATGATATCCCAACACAGAAAAACTGGCTATTATTTATTGTGTGTTACTGTGCACACACAGGCACAATTTTAATCACTTTAAATTTAGTTATTAAAAATGAAAATTGAGTTAAAACCTGTAGTAGGAAAACATTGAGTAGAGATTATTGTGACAGTCATCATACAACAAAGTATGGCAACAGTATTACAAAGATGTTGTTTAATTGTAATAATTACAGTGCGTGTTTATACAAAGTGCACACACTGCAAAATCTAAATTTAGATATTTGCAAATAAGTGTGCATATTTCATTTAAATAATTGGATTTGAATTATTGGTTCAATATGCTTTGGAAAAGTCATGTTAATTAACAAAATTGTATGGTAATGTAAAATTGAGAGGATTCTGACTTTTCATGTCCAGTTCATTCCATATAAAATACTGTTTTGCAGGTACTCTGCAGCCAGTATCACCATGGCGGTGGCTGATCTCCGTGCTTGTCCCTCTTTTCATCACATTTAGAGCCTTTAAACGCAAGAATCTTGATCATGGTGGTGCCATAGGAGGTGAGGAATACATTTTGAAGTTCAGATGGTCTTTTATGGGGTCATTTTAATGTCACATCAACATTTGTGACAGGTCGTAAAGGGTTGTTATACAAACCCCAAAACAGACATGCTTGGAATCTCAAGTAATATGTAGAAAAAAAGTCACCAAAAACAAACCCCTCAACAATCTAAACAAACATTTGCCAAGCCTTGTCCTGGAGGCACAGCAACAGTTTCGAGCTTTTCCTAATCAAACACTCCTGATTCCATACATAAGCACATTACTAGATACTGAAAAAGATGGGTCAGATAAAAAAAAAGACATCCAAAATGCATACTGTTGGTGTGCCTCCAGGAACAGGTGTGGGAAACACTGATCTAAACTAATCCATTCTAACCAAACACACAGCAGGTTATGGCAATAATTAAACATCCTGAACAAAACTGCCCATGATTCTAGGCACTAAAACCTTAGAAATAGTACATAGGAAATGAGGTAAATATCAGACAAACTAAAATTATCGTATATATATATCAGCCATACAGGTCAACAAATTCTGTAAATGAACATGAGCCGCTGAGTGCTTTTTCTGCATGTTACAGTATATGTTTAATTTTAAATATTTTATTTGATGTGAATCCCTAATGCCTCAGTAATTCAGGATTCTGGGAGAGGAAAGAAAGCCACAGACAGAGATCGGAAAGCCAAAAAATTATAAAATGTCAACAATGTCATATTTCACCTATTTAGAAAAATTCCAGATTGCAGTTTCAACTGTAACATGATAAACATCATGACTGGGTCAACAGATTAACTGTAAATATCTGGCTCAAAACATTGATTGAGTCATAATCTGAATTTGAGCTGCTTCTCTCATGAGTGTGTCAGCAAGAGGGTGTGTAATATACTATTATAATATTTTGAAGTGATAAAAAGCTTGGAAATATGCAAATACAGAACTGGAATGTTTAGCATAATACATTGTATTTTATAAGAGAACCACGCTGGATATATAAGAACTGGTCTGAGATTACTTTATAATAATATACTTTAATACTATCTCTCCTTTCTCCTCAGTCAAATCCACATGCAGCAGTAATTATGAGGTCTATAGTAAAGTCGTTCTTCCTCTGCCAGCATGCAACCTTTGGCGTTAAGGAATTAGTAGGCCTGTCATGATTATTACGTATACAATAAGATTCTTTGGAGATAAATAAATAATTAAAAACACAGCATTACATTCTGAACCAGTTTGCCTCAAGAACCATTGTAGTGTCAAATTGTTGGATAATATTTGAAAATATTTTAAAAAATACTTTTGTGAATGAAAACCTCAACAAAAATGCATCATACAATTCTCTGTACTATCTAAGACAATAATGTAAAAAAATGCTTATTTATAAAAGATGCAAAAATGGCTTGAAGCTTTTGAACCTTGTGAACTGCTGCTTGCAGCTATAATTTTGACAATGACAAAAATGTTTGTCATTTGAATATTTTAGGACAGAAATATATTACTATTACGTAATATATTGTATAATAATAACAGAGCATCTTGTTCTTGCTGTGGCTGGATTACTGATCGTGATGTGACTAGATTAATAAATTGCCAATTAACAAATCTTCATCTCTTTGCAGCGATGCTGGTTGGCTTTTTTCTTACTATGGCCAACATGAGCTTTTTTGGAGCTTTGTTCACCTTTTTTGTCACGTCCAGCAAACTAACCAAATGGAAGGGAGACATCAAAAAACAAATTGACTCAGATTATAAAGAAGGTATGTGTGGTTCTTTACTGAACAATTCTGATATTTCAGAATATTTTTTTCTCATTCTTATGGGCTAGTTATGAGTAGACAAAGAAATCTCTATTTTTGTTGCTTGTCTTTGTAGTGCAAATAGCTAGTTTTACCTTTTTTGTTATTCTTCCAGTTATTTACTTATATGGGCAAATTAATCAGATGTATTGGTGTGACTGTGGGTAGACAGGCAACAGATTTTATTTATGTTTAATAGGTTTTCAATTCAATTCAGGAACGATTTTTTGTGAATTCAGAACAATTTACAATGAGATTCAATCCAATTTTGATTAATTATTGTAGTCTGAATTTATAGAATTAATTAATTCATAGGAGTATTTACTTCCTACCTGTAAAATAAAAAAATAGTATATGTAGAAATTGACTTAATCCAAGATTTAAAGAAATGCTTTAAAATTATTAGTTCGTTCTGTTGTGCAGGCAGATTTTAATGTTTAGTCTAGTCTTGCAGTGTTCCAGATGCATTAAGCAGCAATCATACAACACTTCTATGGATAGTCTACCCTAGTTTATAATGTACTTTTCCAACTAATCCTAAACTTTTCTTCACTGAATATTAAAAAATGCCCTATTTTTTATCTTTCTCTGACTCATGGTGTCTTCACAGATGACTGAATCAATTGCTAGTTGCTGAGAAAAGCATTTTCAGACGTAATTAGCCTACATACTTTTATTGGGTTTTGCGTTTAGATATATATTTAGATATGGTGAAAGGTTTTAGATTTTTGTTTAAATGTTTTTGAGCCTTAGTCTCTGAGTCTTAAACACAGCCTGTGGTCTCAATCTGTCAGAAAATATTCATATGTATTTTTACAAATATGTTCCTTCAAATTTGAATAAACATAGAGATTTACAGTTGAAGTCAAAATTTTACATACACCTTGCAGAATCTGCAAAATGTTAATTATTTTACCAAAATAAGAGGGATCATACAAAATGCATGTTATTGTTTATTTAGTACTGACCTGAATAAGATATTTCACATATGTTTACATATAGTCCACAAGAGATGTTTACATATAGTCCACAAGAAAAAAATTATTGTTGAATTTTTACAAATGACCCCATTCAAAAGTTTACATACACTTGATTCTTAATACTGTGTTGTTACCTGAATGATCCACAGCTGTGTGTTTTGTTTAGTGATAGCTGTCATGAGCTGATAGTCATGAGTCTCTTGTTTATTCTGAACAGTTAAACTGCCTGCTGTTCTTCAGAAAAATCCTTCAGGTCCCACAAATTCTTTGATTTTCCAGCACTTTTGTATATTTGAACCCTTTCCAACAATGACTATATGATTTTGTGATCCATCTTTTCACACTGAGGGCAACTGAGGGACTCATATGCAACTATTACAGAAGGTTCAAACGCTCACTGATGCTCCAGAGTGATGCATTAAGAGCCGGGGTTGAAAACTTTTTGAATTTGAAGATCAGGGTAAATTGTAGGACTGGCCCCTAATAGTCGACTAACCCTTAGTCGACCAGAAGAGGCTTGGTTGACTGAAATTTTATTAGTCGCTTAGTCACAGAAAAAAAAAATCCACAGGCGAAGTCACGCAGTCCTTGACTAACAGATCGTTAACATTGAGTAATACATCTTTCAAATCTGTAAAGACTCTACGTTTATTTGTGTGCACTCACAATAACAACAAAACACGCTTTTGTAAAATAATGAAAGCAAACATGTGCTTTCTGCTGTCTTGTGTCATATGTCTCTGTGAACTTGAGCGTGAAACTCCGTGTATAGCATTGCCTTACAGACATTAAAAATATATCTACAGACAAATCACATAAAAGTTTGATGTCATTCAAGGAGTTGTTCTGCTCTGTTTGGCCATTGTAATTCACTTCACCCTTTCTGAATTCTGCAGAGGCTTAGATGTTTGCTTGACATGGATGTTTTCTTGTGTGGAAGTGGCAGAAAGCAGATGAGGCACTTGTTTCTTCAGCTTTGGTGGTATCCTAAGAAGCGGTTCATTAGATAGTTTGTTGTGTTCCCCAAATCTAATTTTTCTTTAATTTCCCTCTTTGATTGTTTGGGCACATTTTGGATTTTTTTTTATTTACTTTTTTTTTTAAAATTCACAACTAAGTGCAAATAACAGTATGTTAGTCTTGAATGAGTAAGCTTTAAGCTTAAGCTTTTTATAATGCTCATTTGTTTGTTTATGCATCCGTCCAATGCAGCCTCCAACCCATTCTTTCTCAAAGTGTTTTTTGATTTTGCTGTATAGAATGCTTCTTGATAACATTACTTGTGTGTCTTTAATGTTTGCAGGAGGCCAGAGGAACTGGTTGCAAGTTTTCTGTAATGGTGGAGTTCCTACTGAATTGGCCCTGCTCTATATGATTGAAGTTGGTCCTGGAGAAATACCTGTGGATTTTGGGAAGCAATATTCCGCTTCATGGATGTGCTTATCACTCTTAGGAGCCCTGGCTTGCAGCACAGGGGACACCTGGGCTTCTGAAGTTGGTCCTGTGCTTAGTAAGAGTAAACCCAAGCTCATTACCACCTGGAAAGATGTCCCAGCAGGTACAGAGTCCAAAAATTAAATGGTTGAAATTAACAGAATATTCTAAGAATTTAAAGGGGTCCTATTATACTTTTTCACTTTTTCAACTTGAGTTAGTCTGTAATGTTGCTGTTTGAGCATAAAAAAGATCTGCAAAGTTACAAAGTTCAAAGTCCACTTCAAAAGGAGATATTTTATTTAAAAGAAATCACTTTTCAAAAACTACAACGAACGACTCGTTTGGACTACAATGCATATTTTCCGGGATTTGTGATATCACAAATATCGACGAATGGGATGAGACCTGGTTGAGCTGCACTAGAGAAGGCAACGAGTGTTATCACTATGTCGGAGACACGCTAGCTTTCCCAAGGCAGACAAACTTAGAATGGTTACAATCATCCGGGTTTAAATCGTGCTCAAATTGATTTGATATTGACGCAATATTTACACTGAAGCTCGCAGGCGGCTATGGTAGGGGCATGACATTTCACGACCAGGCACCGATTGGAGCCAATCACAGCACACACTGGCCCAGCTAACCAATCACAGCACATTTCGTATTTCAGAAAGCAAGCCTTCATTTGATACAGGAACTATTCGAGCCGTTCATGCCAGACTGGGGAGAGAGGTGTTGTAATAATGTAAAATATGTGAAGGATAATATGTTTTTCGAACAACCTAGTATGAAAGCATGTTCTAGTACACCCCCAAAACAAAATCAAGACTTTGTAAAAGAGCATAATAGGACCCCTTTAACTATAATTTAAATGTGATTCAGATGTTGTGAATGATCACAGACAATAATTATGGCCAGGATTTGAAATTAATTTTTTTTATTCAGCAGTCAAGCTACTCAGAAGTTGTACTTGCCAAAACAAAAATATCAGCAATAATCCAGATTATAAAAATGTCAGTTTAGGTTTAAATATATTTACAATAAAATCTAATTTTGAATTATTACATTTACATTACATTTAGTCATTTAGCAGACACTTTTATCCAAAGCGACTTACAAATGAGGAGAATAGAAGCAATCAAAACTAACAAAAGAGCAACAATATGTAAGTGCAAATAACAAGTCTTGGATTAGCCTAACGCAGTACACGTAGCAAGGTATTTTATATATATATATATATATATAGACACACACACACACACACACGCAAAGAAAAACAAGTAGATAGAATAAAAAAAAATAGAAAGCTAGTGTTAGTTTTTTTTATTTTTATAAAAATGATAAATAGATAAAGTTGAATTAAAATAGAATAGAAAGTGCTAGAGTTAGAGGGTCAAATAAAGATGGAACAGATGTGTTTTTAGTCGTTGCTTGAAGATGGCTAAGGACTCAGCTGCTCGGATTGAGTTAGGCAGGTCATTCCACCAGGAGGGAACAGTTAATGAAAAACTCTGTGAAAGTGATTTTTTGCCTCTTTGAGATGGCACAGTAATGCATCGTTCACTTGCAGAACGCAAGCTTCTAGAGGGCACATAAGTCTGAAGTAATGAATTTAGGTAAAGGGGTGCAGAGCCAGTGGTGGTTTTGTAGGTGGATTTTTATTAAATCACTTTTGACTGTTTTATGTCTTGTTTGCGGATAGCGTAAATATGAACGAGTAGTGCCACCAATCCTATCTGTTGCAAAATACTTTGAGACTGTGACTTTTCTTATAAAACAGCATTTATTTACCCTAATATAGCTGACCCCAAATAATTGTTTAAACATAAAACAATGTGGTAAGATTAGTGGACAAGCTTTCAGCAATTTTTTTCATCAGCTGTTTCAAGACAGCATACTTAACTCAATGTATTACAGCCTCTTTTCCACTTACGTTCATAAAAAAAAAGTTATTCTCACTCTGACAGTGATGAAAAGCATGCCCCATAATATGATGACATCATTATACCCTAGCAATAGAATTTCACAAAATTCCCATGCCATTCGCCACTTTGTGTCAGAATACACTGATCAGCCACAACATTAAAGCGGTTCAATAGTTGTCCTTCCTTGCACCTCTTTTGGTAGGTACTAGGGATGTTCAACAGCGATCAAGTACTCGAGTACCTGGCTGTGACAGCAATGATCGATCATGAAAACGATGAACGTGAATTTTTTTTTTCTCTGATTGGTTATAGCAGCACTTTGGACGGCACCCTGAGCTCTTATGGTTTAGCTTGCCACAGCATGCTGTCCAAAGTATAGACATGAGAAGAGAGAGAAGCATGGCTTCGAAGTCACATAGTGATGTCTGGGTTAGCTACATACATATCTGATTAATCTAATATAGGATGCGTTGGGATATTAACATGCTGAATGCGCTGCATATTACCAGTGTTTATTTTCATGATCAAATTCAAGTTAATTTCATGTTCAAATTCAGTTATTTGAGATGGTCATACTGCTTTTAGATGTTTCTTTTTTTTAAATACAGATGTTATAATAATGCAGCAGTGCGTTTTTCGTCATATTTGTTCAACAGTATGCATACTTCAATTAAAATTGTTTTTGTACTTCATATGGCTTCGAAAACGTGCAGGCGATTTCAGGAATCACTTGATAATGTAGATGAAAATATAGCACAAATCTGCCGTAAATATAGCATTATAATGAGAACTTTATAGAAATCTATTGTAAATTCTGTTTTCTTTACTTGAAACATCACGGTGGGAGCTCTGTCTCACTCTGTCTCTCGCTATAGTACGTAACTTAAAGTTCACTGGCATTTGCATCCTTTTGTACAGATACAACAGATACAATTGTAATTTTACGTCTATGTTATGTATATGTTATCTGATTAATATCATAGGATGTGTCATAGAACGGGTTTCAGTTTATTGGCATGAAGTCACTCTTCAGGTTCACCTCAGTGTAATGTGGTGTTTTGTTTCATGTTCATGTTTTCCATGTCTTTTATTTTGTAATTGTTTCATGGTCCCTGTTTGTGTCATGCTTCCCTTGCCCTCATGTATTCATGCCATTGGTTCCCCTGTTCATTGTGTCATGTTCTGATTGGTTGTCTTAGTCATGTGTCTTGTTTCCCATTGGTTTGTTCTTGTCATGTGACCCTCTTGTTTCCTATAAGTAGCTTCATGTTCCCATTGTGCCCTCGTCGTGTATTGAATGTATTTAACCCGCTGTTGGTGAGTCTAGTCTGTTTATGTCAAGTCTGCTCATGCTAAGTCTGCTCATGCTATGTCTGCTCATGCTATGTCTGTTCAAGTCAAATCTGTATTTCTTGTTTGGATATCACCTGTAAATAAACTGCACTTGGGTTCTCACTTACGCTCGCCTTCAGTGGATGATTCGTTACATATTATTGCACACTATTTTATAACGTATTACAATGCTCAGGTAAAGATAATTGACACTATTTAAAAATATATAGATATCTGAAGTGTTAAGATAACTAGAAATAAATAAACAAAATAAAACACAAAAAAATATATAGAAAACTGAATAAAAACCAACAACAAAAGCACATGATTAAAACTTTAATTAAAATGATTGTGAAGTGGAAAATATAAATATAAATGAGATTTTATTAAATAACAAAAGGTATTCAAATAAATTATATAAAGTAAAATTGGATTATATAAATTTTATATATATATATATATATATATATAGTATATATAATTTATAAAAATGAATAAAAAAATTAGAATAGTAAAATTTTATTTAAAACATAAAGATATTGATGTTGAAGATGTTTAAACTAAATAACAAAATGTATTAAAAGAAATACAATTGATTAAATTAAATAAGTTTGTTTTAATTTATATATACATATATATTTACATATGCAAATATTAAAAAATAAGTATGATTTAAACAAATAAATCAGATTAAATTAAACATATTTGATTAGAATAATAATTGTAATAAATCTATTAAATGTATTAAATTAAAAATAAAAAATAAATATTAAAATAAAAATTTATTTAAACACATCTAACAGTTCTGTACTTTAGCGACTAGAGTCATGTAACATAATAGAAGTGAACTACTTTCCAAATAGCCTAATATTCTACTCATAATGTACACATAATTTTTGACAGTATTAGTTGGGTCTTTAGTTTGTGTTTCAGCTCTTCTGTGACGTCTGAGATTCAGCATCAGTTGAGCTGGTCCTCAGCTGTGTTGCTCTCATCACGTCTCTGCGCTGGTGTCGTGATGTGAGTTCAGCTGCAGGACAGCAGGAGTCGAGCAGACGCTTTACTACTCATCCGTGTGTAAACAGTCCTGTTGGATTAGTGGCCAGTGTTTTGGGTGGAGGCACAGTGGGAACCGCGTACTACTTCATGCAGCTCCTGTTGGTAAAAGATCTGCATTTAGCAGTTCCTCAGTGGCCTATCATCTTGTATGGAGCAATAGCTGGTCTGTTTGGATCTCTGCTAGATTCATTCCTCGGTGCAACCATGCAGTATTCAGGTAATCTGGCTGATTATTATTAAAGGTAAATAAAATAAAATAGATTCATTTATATATTTTCCCCCTGTGGTCCACCACAATATTATTGCAAGTTTCTTGCAACAGTCATACTAACAATGCTAATGTACTTTTATGCAAAATAAATAATTTATCATCTTCTGTCAGCACTCCTTTTTATTCTAATTGGACATGAAAAGTTACTTGGCACTGAATGATTATTGATTCTTAAAATCCCAAGATCAATCTTTTAATCAGTGCCTATGGATGTTATGTTAATAGTGCAAAATAAAATGTAAATGTTACTTTATTTATTTAACAATAATGATGAAGGATTCATCATTATTATTAAATAATTCCACATCTTGAGATATGCTGTCACCTCCTCCGTATTATCTGTTATAAACTAATGAAGAAAAATATTTGGAAATATGAAGTCAATGAAGCAGTTTGGTTTTATATTATAACATATTTGGCCCCTTTCCAGTCACACTGTATTGATTGTACGTTATGTACCATTATTATCATATTGGACTGACTTATTTGTAATTTCTGCTGGGTTTTCTTTTAATATTTGTTTATAATTTTCTAGGTGTTTGACAATTTTTTTTCTTCTTTCCATCAAGGATATGATGAATCCATTGGGAAGGTTGTGAGTTATGAGTCACCGAGCGTTAAAAGAATATGTGGGAAACCCATCCTGGACAATAATGGAGTGAATCTGTTCTCTTCTGTACTCATAGCACTATTCCTGCCTGGGTTTGCTGGGATATTCTAGGCTAGGCACTGAATCATGTGATTTTAATTGTGTATCATGTCCCTTTTAAGATAAAAAGCAGTTTATGCTAAAACAATGCCATTACCATAACACCATGGATTTTATTTTTATTTTTTTGAATTTAATCAAGCACAATTTAAACTCCCAATGTCTTTGTTTCTACACATTGTATTGAGGCTTTCAAAATTATTTAAAGTTGAAATGTGTAATGTTAAAATACTTCACATAGGAGAACAAATAAATTATATTAATCTTGAAAGGCTGCCAAAGGCACATGCTGACTCTCCAAGTATTTCTTCTTGTGTGCCTCTATGACTTTGGAAAGACTTGTGATGGCAAATAGGCAAATATTTAAGCTTTACAGCACGGTATACAGAGCTCAAAATACTGTAAAAATCTGTCAAAGTCACAGACTACTAGAGCCAAATAGTTTCTAGGCCACTACAATTCCGATCACTTCATTACATGCCCACTAGGCAATTGTTTTCGTAGTCCATTTCTTACATAATCATTTTAAATGAATAGCGTTTTCTGCTTATCACCAAATGTATGTGTCTCTGTGTAAGTGTCTATGCCATTTATTACAGGTGTAGGTTCTGGTGTTTTGTGTATGTCAGAGATCAACACATTCAAGTAGTCCATTGGAATGTATGTGTACTTTGTGGAATAAAGTACCCTTACACACAAAGCATGCTAGGTTCTTCAGCCATTCAACCATCCATTTTTGTTTACTGTCTTGAATTAAAAATAATAATTATGATTATGAGTCATTTGTTTTTTTTAAGTATTTATATTTTGTTCCAGATCTGTAAAATAATAGTGTTCAAAACTAACACTCGCCAAGCACCAAACGTGGGGTTGAAATGGCTTTGGCAAGTAAATAAAATGAGAAGGAAGTAAATTTTCTAATTAAGAAAATAACATGCATTACAGGTAAAGATGGTAATAGCTGCTCCTGCTCCAGGTTACCTATGCAAACATATTTTACATGTAGCCTAGATGATGTTTGGATATTACAACAAAACCATATACTAACAAATAGCATGTTTATACAGACCCATAAT